TTCACTGTCACTGTCACTGTTCTCCCGTTGTTCATCGATTTGCTCGAGCAGGCCCAGTAACGTCTCCATTGGAGACTTTGTTGTTACTGTGCTTAGCATATCGAATACATCATGGGTAGCTTGCCAGGCTCTGCTGTGCAGGCGAGATACTCTCATTAGCTTGCCGGGCTCTCCGAGAGGAGCGGAGGAATTGAACTCAGGTCGGCCATGTTGGCTGCGTGCAAGGCAAACGCCCTACCGCTGTGCTATCGCTCTAGCCCCAAGGTTCTTTTTAAAAGTTAAAAATAGAGAGTGGGGGCTAGAGATATAGTACAGCAGGTAAGGTGTTTTTCCTGGGTCAATCTCCAACACCACATATGGTCCCTCAAACCCTCCTGGAGTGGTCCTTGATTATAGAGCCTGGAGTAAGTCCTGAGCACCAGTGGGCATCACCCAAACATCAAAACCCAGAGAAATAGAGCTACTATATGATCACTAATTATACTCTGGGGTATAAGTATCTAAAGAAAATTAAGTTACCATTTCTAAAAGGTATTAACCACCCCATGTTCACTGCAGAATTTTTCACAATAGCTAAGATATAGGAATAATTTATGTCCAGCAATGGGCGAATGTGCTTGAAGTGTGGTATGCTTGTGACGTGGGTTCCATGCTTGGGTTGGTAGTCCCAATGGGCTATATGGTCCTGTGTATAATAGAGTACACCTGTAGGCTTTGTAAATTACCTTCTGTGATGGTCCCACAATATTTCTTGGAATGTCTCCCTGTCATTGAACAATTTATGATTAATGCAATAGAAAATTATTCAGCCATATAAAAGAAGAAATTCTGTCATTTGTAGCAATATGATGGATCTCCAAGGGATTATGATAGGTGAAATAGGTCAGGACAGAGAAAGACAAATACTTTGTTATTTAACTTATATGAAGTTTTTGTTTTGTTTTGTTTTCTGGTTTGGAATTCATACCTGGCATTGCTCAGGTGCTCAGAAGACCACATGGAGCACTAGAGATTGAACCAAGATGGCAGATAAGGCAAGAATCTTATACTCTATACCATATGACTACTTAAATGGAGTCTTAAAAGATGTCTCAGAAATGATGGGCATTAAGATAGTTGCCAGAGATGGGAAACAGGAATGGGGAGAATGAGCAAAAGTGTTGAAAGGTACAAGATACAGTTATAACTTAAATTAGTTCTGGAGCTGTAATGTATATAGCACCATGAGTGCATCAGACAATACAGTATATTTGAAAGTTGGGCCAGGGAGATGGCTCAAAGGCCCGGAGCATATTTTTTTCATGTGGGAGCCCCAGCTCAACTCTGGCATGTATGGTCTCCTAATCACAGTTTGGTGTGCCCCTCCAAATCTTGAACACACCTCCCAAAGAGGAGAATGGAGGGGCATGCTCCTTATTTCCGGCTCCCCTCTGCCTCAGAAATGGGATTGGACACCGGTACATGCCAGGATCCCCGTTCAAGAAGAGGAGCACCCGTCTGAGAGGACGTAAGTGACTCTGTCTACAGGATCTAGCCCTAGATCAAGGGGTTGGCAATATGTGTGGGGACAAAAATGGAGCAGGGCTCAGGGAGAAGGTTGGTTAGATGAACGGATCACACAATGAGCAGACATGTTGGGGCTCTTGGCAGGAAACATTCTCCCCCCTTCCCTCCAAAGGAGCAGCAGTCAGACACTGACATAGGAAGGATTTCTTCTGGATATTTTGTTTTTACTTTTGCATTATTATTAATATTATTATTGTTATTATTATTATTATCAACATCATCACTATTCATTTTGGGCTACTCCCAACTTCATTTGGCAGTGCTTATGGGGCCCTATAATGGAACCTGAGCCTTCTGCATGCAGAACTTATGCTCCAGTTCTTTGAACTATCTCCCCAGTCCTTTCTGGATTTTTAAATCCTCAGTCACTAGTAAGCAAGTGTATAAGTATGCAAGAATATAAGCAGTGTAGACTAGTACATACACAGGTATAATAAACATTTGTTTTTGCTGTTGCTAATGTTATTGTTTCCTTTCAATGGCACCTTTGCCGTAGTTAAGTCAGTGACACCGATGAATGCCCGTGGAGCAGCCATATAAACAGAAACAACAAAGTCCAGGAACCCTTGGTGTGGCCAGAGTTGCTCTTCAGAGAGAGTACGAGATTGAAAAGAGGAAGATCGGGATAGTCATAGAGAGGTTCTACAGAGCCATTTTCCCCAGTCAATGATTTTTAAAAATAAATCGACAAAAAGGAACAATTAAAATTCATACCTTCAACACTCACATAAACCACCAGAGGTCTCTAGTGAAGCATTAGACGCCACCCTCACTTTCCTACCCAATACCAAGAAGCACAGTGTGCTTGTGTATTTACACAAATGTGTAAATTGGCTCAAATGTGACCAATTATTTTAATTAAAAACAAAACAAAGCATTTTTTGGGGGGTGGCCATTGGTGGACTTTAATCAAACCCAAAAAGGCCAAATAAAGTGGCAGCTAATTTTTCTCTGGTTTAGTAATACAAGTATGTGCTGGAGCGATAGCACAGCAGCCAGGGCGTTTGCCTTGCACGCTGCCGACCCCGGTTTGATTTCTCCATCCCTCTTGGAGATCCTGGAAAGCTACTGAGAGTATCCCGCCCGCACCGCAGAGCCTGGCAAGCTCCCTGTGGCATATTCAATATGCCAAAAACAGTAACAACAAGTCTCACAATGGAGACGGTACTGGTGCCCCTCAGGCAAATCGATGAACAACGGGAGGAGAATGCTACGGTGCATGTTATGTTTAGAAACAAACCTATCCCAGGGCCTGAGAGATAGTATAGCAAGTAGGATGCTTGTCTTGCACGCTGCTGAACTCGTTACAATACCCTGCACCCTATTATGGGACCTCTGTCCCCCAGTTGTGATCCCTGAGTGCACAGCCAGTAGTAATCCCTAAGCACTGCCAGGTGTAGCCACAAAACAAAACAAAATAAATAAGTGAATAAATAGAAACAAACTTGCCCACCGGGTGGCTTCTGCACTTTTCCCCCCCTCTGACAGTCTTATCTGTCCTGTCATCTTAGCCTGACTCCCCACCCCCAAACTTCTGGGTCACTAGAGTCCTGGACAATGGACCAGGTCTGAATTCTTTGGGGCCACTCCTGGGCTTCTACTGGGGCAGATAGGCCAGGCCCCGTCATTCTCAGCACTGTCACACTTTCCTGATTTTCCTACTGCTCGGTTTTGCTAAACTAATACCTCCTCATGTTCACAGAACTAACTGCAAAGTGTATGGCTAGTCTTATGTGCAAAATTTTTTAAAATTTTTATTAATTTATTTATTTTTGACTGGGTACACATTCCAACACCGTGCTAGTTGGGTTTTTTGGTTTGTTTTGTTTTTTAAGTTGAATCACCATGAGATACACAGTTACAAATTGTTCATGGCTGGGTATCAGTCATACAACACCCATCTCTCCACCAATTTACATTTTCCATCACCAATATCCCCACTTTCCCTCCACCTCCTTCATCCCCCACCAGTCTGCCTCTATGGCAGGCACTTTTCTTCTTTCCCTCTATCTCCTTTTGGGCATTATGGTTTGCAATACAGGTACTGAGAGGTTTATACTGTGTGTTCCTTTTTTCAGCATGCAGTTCTTTACCTACTCTCAGCATGTAGTTCTTTACCAGAGTGATTATTTCCAGCTGTCATTATCATACTGGTTTCCTCACTATCTCAGATTTTTAAAAATTATATTTTAGGCACTCTTTTTGTTTTTGGATGTAGAGGACAGATTTAGGGTTATGTACTAAAGTGCTCAGGAGCCATTCGTGATTCTATGCTCAGGAGTGAAACCTGGAGGTGCTTAACGGACCATATGTAGTACCAGGTGTTCAACCAGGGTCAGCCAGTTGCAAGGCAAGCACTTTACCCACTGTACTGTCTGGCTGCACATGTGGTCAATTTTCTGTGGTCAAAGAGCTCATACAAACTAGAAGTCTGATCTAGACTATTGCTTATTCTTCGCAGCCAAAAACACTACAATTACTAGTTTACAAAGGTTCACAATCATTTTCTTTTCCTTTTTGGGTCACACCCAGCGATGCACAGAGGTTATTCCTGGCTCATGCTCTCAGGAATTACTCCTGGCGGTGCTCGGGGAACTATATGGGATGCTGGGAATAGAACCTCGGTAGGTTGAGTGCAAGGCAAACGCCCTACCCTCTGTGCTATTGCTCCAGGCCCAGGTTCACAGTCTTTTATTTTCTTTGATTCTAAAACTGTAGCCTTTTGACTCAATATGCTTCTTTCCTCTCCTCACAACAGCTCCCATTTGCTTTTCGTATTGTTTTAGTTTGTTTGGGGGACACATCCAGTGTCCTCAGGGCTTTTACCTGGCTCTGCATTCAGAGATCACCCCTAGCATGGGGTGGAGGGTGTTTGGGAGACCATATGGAGTGCTGTGCTGGGGATCAAACCCAGGTCAGCCACATGCAAGGCAAGTAACCTGCCCTCTATTATTTCTCTGGTCCCTGCTTTTGTTTTTTAATGAAGCACATGTAATCCGTGAGTGGGAACTGGATATGCTTTTGAATTATACTTGTGGCTCAGATAATCACTAGGAGAATGCAATCAATTAGAGACAGTGTCTTTTAGAAAACTTAAAATCAAAATTATTTTTGTCCAAACATTGAATTTACATACCACATGTTTAATTCTTTTTCCTTAGATTTTGGGTCACACTTGGTAATGCTCAAGGGTTACTCCTGGCCCTGCACTCAGGAATCACTCCTGGCAGTGCTTGGGGGACCATATAGAATGAATGGATTGAACCTGGGTCAGCTGCATGCAAGGCAAGAGCCCTACCTGCTGTTCTACCTCTCTAGCCCACATGCTTTATTCTAATAAAAAATTCTGAAATGCAACTGGGTGTTTTTTGCTTTTTGTTTTCTTGTTTGTTTTTGCTGGTACAGATTTAGATCATGATTAAGTGGATATTTACCTCTGATATATTCATCAATGAGCTGTAAATTAACTTCCTGATACTCAGCAGTAGGATCAAAGACACAAATTTTCTCAACTAAATATTTGTTAACATGCTGTGAACAAAGAATAAAAATCAGATGATTATTAGCAAGTTTAAGGAAGGGGCCCAGTTCACCCATTTACAAAATTCTATTTACATACATTCTAAAATAGGCAAAATCTATCTCTGTGTAGAAGGCAGGATTTTGGTTATGGTTGGGGTTAGAATTTGGGTACGTTGGTGAGGGGGAGAAATGGAAGAGGGTACAATAAGGGAGTCTGGGGGGCATACTAGTGATATTTCTCAATATGAATTGCTGATTTTTAATGTTTATTCTGTAAAAGTTTTGCATCTGTGCTCTTTGATTTGTACAATTATGACTTATAATATAAATATAAGTATATATAATATAAATATAAGTCAACTTGCATGGGTTATTCTTCAATAAAAGGAACATTAAACAAGAACTTACCGCTTTACACTTTTCCCAACTTTCTATGTCCAAATCAGGATGAAAGAGCAAGAGAATTGCCATTAGGATGTTATGGACTAGCTTTGCTTGGGATTCTACCTCCTGGGACATAGGAGAAAGAAACAGGGACATGAAGTCCGTAAAGGAAACCTTCTGGAGGCCTTCCTGTAGCTCTTGCAGCATGATGCGGAAGAAGAGAATGCCTGCCCTTTGGACTTCTCCTTTTTTCTCAATGGCTGGAATAGCAGAATGGTAGTACACATATATTACTTCTTTAAAAATAAATTTCTGGGTGTACTATAGTCAAAATCTTCAGGAACAAAGACTGTTTAAGGTTTTAAACAGTCTTCGTCTCTTAGGGAGAGAGAGATAGTACAGAACACCAGTAGTGTGATTCAACTTTTTTTGAGGAATATATTTAAAGTAGTTGATGCATACCAGGGAATTTAATAAATGCTAATTCTTCATTGCCTTTATGAGTCCTTTCAGCTCTAAAACCATATGATTCTAGCCAAGAAACTGTGATTCACTACTCTTTTATATACCATACACATCACCTCAAGACTGAAGAATTCCTTATGCATAATATTGATCATTTAATTTTTTAATTTAATTATTATTTTTTATTATCACAACAAGCTCCCGGGAGAGCACAAGGCAGAGTCTCCTACCCTGTGCCTGACTATCCTCACCAGGGCCCAACAGCTGAAGACCTCCAGGCCCCAGCCAAGGCCATACTGAGGCCACTCTCCACACACTTGGATAAGCCTCAGGCATAGAGAAAGCCAGGTGTGTGGGACCCGGGCTGAGATCTCCAAGCCTGCATGGTTTGGGACTGGACCTGTCAGTAGCTAGACAGTTACACCCTCCAACTGCCGTGTAACCCCAACAACGGCCAGGATCCAGAGATTATCACAGCAAGCTCCCGGCGTGCAACTATTTATTTACTTTTCTCTAAGTTTTCAGGGTACCTTTAAATATCCCACCCGCACGGCAGAGCCTGGCAAGCTATCCGTGGTCTATGCCAAATAGACCAAATTGATATGCCAACTCCAGTAATAAATGGATCTCATTCCCCTAACCCTGAATATGGCAGAGTCGAGAAGGATATGGAAGGAAAGGCTGATAAAATACCAAGGCAGAAATAGGCTGCCAAAACGAAGAAAAACAAAAATGATTGTCTGTACTTTTAATGCTCGTATGCTGGCATCTGCTGCATCCATTGAAGACCTTATGGTACAAGCGCGAAAGATCAAGTACGACATCATTGGTCTGACCGAAACGAGAAGACATCAATCACATCATGCCATTTTCGACACTGGAGAAGAACTGTTCCTTGGAACATGTGAAAAAAGAGGCGTCGGTGGTGTCGGTATCCTTGTCAACACAAACTTAGCCACAAGCATTGATTCATTCGAATGCCTAACAACACGAATCGGACGATTACACTTGAATAGATGTGGCTCACTACCGGCAGTTTCTATCTTTGCTGTCTATGCACCAACATCCAGTTATGGTGAAAGAGAAACTGAGAAGTTCTACATGGAGCTGGAGAAGTTATATAAAGAAGACCACACGTTCTACAAGATCATTGTCAGTGATTTTAATGCCAAGATAGGACCAAGAAGATCAGTCGATGAACTCCACATCGGGACCCATGGCCTAGAATGGAACGAACAGGGTGACAGACTGTCTGAGTTCATCATGTCAACCAAAACCTTCCATGGTAACTCACAGTTCCAAAAGGCTGAATCTAAACGTTGGACATGGGAGTCTCCCGATGAACGGTTCCACAATGAAATAGACCACATCATATTCAATTGGCGGTTTTGCCTAACCGATGTTGCTGTTGTCCCAAAATTCCAAACGGGATCAGACCACCGTATTCTTCGTGCAAAATTCTACCTCACAGAACGAGGAGAAAAGAATGCAAGGTTTAAGAAGAGGACTCCCAGAACGACCACCAACTGGGAGCTCTTTGCCTCTGTTGCGGCAACATGGGAAGATGCCGTCATTGACAACATTGATGAGGAATACGATCGAATGATTCAGCACCTCCATGATTGTGCGAGGAATGCCAAGAGAGAGATAACCACAAAAAACCGCCTTTCTTCGAACACTCTTGAACTTATTTGCCAACGTGGCTTGGCACATGCCTCAGGCAACCACAAGCGAACATCCGAACTGGCAAAATAGTGCAGAGAAGCCATCAAGGATGACCTCAAAAACAGGAGAGCAGCAGTACTGGTAGATGCGGCAGAAGCTGGGAAAAGCATTCATAATGCCCGCCTATCCTTCACCAACTACAAAACCAAGATGACTGCCCTCCGACATCATGATGGATCTATCACATCTTCCAGAAGGGCAATGGAGAAGATTATTCATGACTTCTACTCAGATCTCTTTAATAGCCACGTCCACTTGCCCACATACCACATACCACATGATGGATATGTCGTTCCCAGTGTTCTCCCTTCCGAAATCCAACATGCCATCTTGTCGGTAAAGAAACAAAGAGCACCTGGCCCAGACAAGATCAGACCTGAACACCTGAAGAACTTACCATCAGTACTCATCAATACATTGACTCAGCTCTTCACACGCTACCTGTCTGAATGCAAGGTTCCATCCCAATGGAAAACCAGCGGGACTGTACTACTATACAAGAAGGGAGACATCCACGACATTGGCAACTATCGCCCAATCTGCCTATTGTCTGTCGTCTACAAACTGTTCACTCGAGTCATCCTGAATAGGATTAGCAGAACACTAGATGAAGGACAACCATGTGAACAAGCCGGATTCCGAAAAGATTCAGTACCATCGACCATATCCACACGATTACTAAGCTCATTGAGATTTCTCGGGAGTTCAAGATGCCACTCTGTCTAACGTTCATTGATTTAAAGAAGGCCTTTGATTCTGTTGAGACGGAAGTGGTCATGGAAGCCCTAGCCAATCAGGGCGTACAAACTCAATACATCAGGATCCTTCGTGAGCTCTATTGCGGATTCACTACCAAGATCTCACCATTCTACAAAGAAGTAATCATCCATATCAAGAGAGGGGTTCGGCGGGGTGATACCATTTCACCAAAACTCTTCAGTGCCACCCTAGAGAACATCATGCGACGACTGGAATGGGAAAGCATGGGAGTGAAGATAGATGGTCGGCAACTACACCACCTCCGCTTTGCTGATGGCATCGTTCTAATAACACCAAACATCAGTCAAGTGGCACAAATGCTGAACGACTTTGACCGTGAATGTGGAAAGGTCAGACTACAGCTGAATCTTAAGAAGACAATGTTTATGAGAAACAGCCTTGTTCCTGACACTCCATTCTCTCTCAACAGAACCACCATCTCCGAATGCAACAGTTATATATACCTAGGTCGAGAAATCAACATGATGAATGACCAGGCACCTGAGTTGCGCAGGAGGAAGAGAGCGGCTTGGAATGCCTTCAAGAACATTGAAGAAATAACTAAAAGGACAAAGAACCTCCAGCTACGAGCACATCTCTTTGATTCCACTGTTCTTCCTGCATTAACATATGCCTCAGAGACCTGGACCCTACGAAAACAGGATGAGAACACTATTCGGGTCTCTCAAAGAGGAATCAAAAGAGATATGCTTGGAATATCACGATTCACTCAAATGAGAGATAGAATCCGGAGTTCTGATCTTCGTCAACACTCAAGAATCAGGGATGCTGTCTCATTTGCCAAGACATCAAAAATCAGATGGGCTGGACACGTAATGAGGTTTACAGACAACCGCTGGACTAGAGCCATTACTGATTGGATTCCACGGGACATCAAAAGATCACGTGGACGCCCACCTACAAGATGGTCAGACTTCTTCGTCAAGACCCTGAATGATCGGTTTGAGGCTCTGCATGTTCCTAGAACGAACAGATACCATTGGGCTACGCTAGCACGCAACCGGGATGAATGGAGATGTTACTGGCACCCGCTCAAGTAAATCGATGAATAACGGGGATTAAGTGATTAAGTGATTATTTTTTATTTACTTGTTTTGTTTGGGGTACCATATGTGGTACCAAGGATTGAAACAAGGTTGGCTGCATGCAAAATAAGAGCCTTGCTTCCTGTACTATCTCTCTGGTACAGAAAATTTTAAAGCACTCATTTTAGAAAATGTATTCTTCATTGCATTGTCATTCCCCCCAATGGATTAAACCCATGCACCAAGAGTTGCTGCATTTACAATACCTAAGATATACTTTTTCTTTATCTCTCCAGATAATTCGCCCAGTATTTCATTGCAGGCAGCTTGGATCACCTTCACCATTTTCAGTAGATCTTTAAATTCTCGATAGCACAACATCTTATTCTTGCCAAAGTTAAAATCCAAGACTCCGAAAGCTTCTCCTCTTGTTTCACGTAGTGGAACTGCCATGTGGGTTTCTCCACAAGCAGAGGTCAAAATAACTTCTGAAGTATCTACACACTTAAACAGAAAATCTCTGAAATCAATACCAAACATGAAAGCTTGTAACTATCTCACGGTGATTCAATAAAATTAAAAGGTAAAGGTAAAGGCCCTCCCGTTGATCGTCGATTTGCTCGAGTGGGCCTAGTAACGTCTCTATTGGAGACTTTGTTGTTACTGTGTCTGGCATATCGAATACTCTCGGTAGCTTGCCGGGCTCTCCGAGAGGGGCGGAGGAATCGAACTCGGGTCGGCCAACATGGCCGAGTGTAAGGCGAACGCCTTACCTGCTGTGCGTTCGCCTTACAAGCGGCCAACATGGCCGACCCGAGTTCGATTCTTCCGCCCCTCTCGGAGAGCCCGGCAAGCTACCGAGAGTATTCGATATGCCAGACACAGTAACAACAAAGTCTCCAATGGAGACGTTACTGGGCCCGCTCAATAAAATTAAATAAAATAAATTTTTCACTCTTAAAAAAAGATACAAGATATCAGTCAGTTTATCATACTCTACCCAAATATACTGAATCCCTCTCTTCAGCGCCTACTATATTTTACTTTATTTTATACACCAGCCCATCTTATTTTTTATTTGCCTGCACTACTCCACCCTTTGATCTCACAGATCTTTCTCCCCCAGCTCATTCACCTCAGGGAGGCTTCTCTGGCTAGCAATCCGGAGTAGCAACCCCTGACTCCATCTGATCTGACACTTATTTGAAAGTACCTGTCTTTTAATTCTATGTCGCCCAGCAAGTAATGGTTGAACGTGTTAAGTGTGCTGGATTTCCTAGTGTGAAGAGTTCGACCTGAGATGGAGTTGCTTATCCAACATTCTGGGAGCAAGGAACAGAAGTCAAGACATGTTTAGCACTTATAAGGTCCTTACTTTGATCCCCAGAAACAAGTTTGTTTAAAGTTTTTTAAAATAACATTTTTAGGGCTAGAGCAATAGTATAATGGGTAGGGTGCTTACCTTGCATGCAGCCAGCCTGGATTTGATCCCTGGTACCACATATAGTCCCCCACACCTTGCCAGGAGTGATCTCTGAGCACAGATCCAGGAATAAACCCTGAGTACAGCAAGATGTGAACTTCCCCCACAAAATAAATAAAATAAAAAAAACCAATATGCTCTACCTCTTCCTCAACTGTGTTCCAGTCTACCTTTTATAAATACAAAATTTGTATTTACAGGCTAACTAACATTGAGATAATGAGCTCTGAGAAGTGATGTGGATGCAATTTTCTATTTTTCTTTTCAGTTATTGGGCCATGCTCAGCTGTGCCCAGGGCTTTCTCCTGGTTCTGTGCTCAGAGATCACTCCTGGCAGAGTCCAAGGGACCATGTTAGGGACTGAGCCTGGGTCAGTTGCAGGCATTGCAGGCATATTGTCCCTTTCTATACTATCTCTTGAGCCCTGGGCATGTTATTCATAATCATAGTCGGTAGTGGTTGAACTCCATGTTTATAAGAAAAACATAGGAAATAGAATACTAATATGCTAAAATGCAATTTTAATGTAAATTATAAAAGGAAGCTGTTTATTTTATTTTATTTGGTTTGGTGACCATACCCTGCTGTGCTCTGTGCACAGGAATAACTTTTTTTTCTTTTATTTAATTGTTAATTTTTTTTAGCTTTTTGGGTCACACCTGGTGATGCACAGGTGTTACTCCTGGCTCTGAACTCAGGAATTACTCCTGGCAATGCTCGGGGGACCATATGGAATGCTGGGAATCAAACCCGGGTGGGCCGTGTGTAAGGCAAACGTCTTACCCGCTGTGCTATCACTCCATCCCCAGGAATCACTTCTGACAGAGATTGGGGAACTAAATGGGATGCCAGGGATTAAACCTAGGTTAGCCATATGCAAAGCAAGCATCCTATCTGCTATACCATCACTCCAACAGGAAAACTATTTTTAAGAGAACTTGAAGGGAAAGGAGTTAATATATCCTATGTAAAGGTAGGTAAAAAGATAAAGGCCCTCCCGTTGATCGTCGATTTGCTCGAGCGGGCCCAGTAACGTCTCCATTGGAGACTTTGTTGTTACTGTGTCTGGCATATCGAATACTCTCGGTAGCTTGCCGGGCTCTCCGAGAGGGGCGGAGGAATCGAACTCGGGTCGGCCATGTTGGCCGCTTGTAAGGCGAACGCCCTACCCGCTGTGCTATCGCTCCAGCCCTATGTAGATAGGATTTTTTCCTTAAATTTCCAATCAGAATGAGAGTCATTGTATATGAATAAAAGGCAGAAACTGTCACTCAAATCTGCTGTCATACCAGGACTGAAGTGGGGAGTAGTGAGTAGAGGGCTGGGGTCTGGGGAGTCAAATAAAGTAGACACAAGCCATTTCTCATACCTGAAGACACATGTCTTCCTGAAGATGGTAGGAGGATTTTTGTAGATATCTGTTAGACCATTGTTTCCTGTTGTCATCATATAGCGTAGAACATAGTCTGCATTCTTGAAAAAAAGGAGATTTCATTACAGAGAGGAAATGATAGAACCTTACACTCCCAGTAGGGTTTTGGGGCACAAATAAAGAGAAACAGAAAAGTTTATTAAACCTCCAGCTTTATGCTCATATTACACTTATTTAGAATCATTAAAGAACAGAGTTTCCACAAGTTTATTTTTTAAATGGTGACCAAAATGTACTATAATTTTTCTGATGTTAACAATGCATTGTCAAACATCTGGAAAACACAGAGAATCCTGAAGAAAAAATATGTTTTACCCTGTTTTCTTTCTACTGTCAGTATGGTCTAGCCACTGTAAGAGGAATGCCAGGACTTAGCAGACAGGAAGAAAACCTGAGGGGAAGCAGTCAAAGACTCAGAGACTACTAGGTGCTGCCATGGCATAAAGCTAACCCACAGGCACCATGCAGAGCTGTTGGCCTCGTGAAAAGAAGACACTGTTTCATCCATTATCATCAAACCCAAAATTCTAACATCAAAAGTAATTGTAGAAGCTGGAGAGATAGTACAGCAGGTAGAGAATTTGCCTTGTGTGTGTGAAAAATCTGGGTTTGATCCTGATATCGTATATGGTTCCCAAGTACCTCCAGGAGTGATCCCTGAGCACAGAGCCAAGAGTTATCCCTGAACACTGCTGGGTATAGCCCAAACACCAAAAATCAATTAATCAAGTGAGTTTAAAGAAGAAAAAAAGGCTGGGGTGTCCTAGGAGCTAAGTTGCATGTTATGCACCCCAACCTGGTGCAATCCCTCTCAATCCCTGTGCACTGCTGAATAATAGCCATGGAGGTCCCCAGCACCACGGGATGTAGCTCTGGAAACTCCAAAATCACAGGGTTGAGCAGCACCCAATTCACCAAATATTTCTGGAAGTGGCCTCTAGTATCCCTGAGCACACTTTGGAGGATTCTATCCTCCTAAAAGAGAAGCAAAGTGAAGGTTCAAAAAATATTTTCACATGATAGATATGGAACTTTAAAAAAAAGTGGAGTGATATGATGTGTCCTTCTAAAACAACAGCACCTCATTCTTCCCCATTTCATTCCTAGGAACCCGAGGCAGTTCCAGTCACTGCAAGTCCAGTCCTCCCTCCCCACCTTAGGCAGGGAGGCTTATGTTAAGATAGATTAAAAACAGTTTTCTTTGGGGGGTTTCCAAATAGGAAGGGAAAAGAAACATTCCTTTCTAGTTAATTAAGCACCTGGCTTGCCTGTAGGGGAAAAAAATCTTGAGCCGAAATACAGAGGGAAATAAACCTGAAAACTGGGAAGAAAGAACCCAAGAGAGCTGTGAGGGCTTTAAGAGCCTGGATCTGGTCATCCTGAAAGCCAGTCTGACTCCTGCCCATTCTTTGTTCTGGACATGTGAACAAATCAATTCTTCCCTGCACGTTGGGCAGCTGGATATGAATTCCTTTCAATTCCCGCCAAGGATCTTGAGGTGGAGTTATGAAAATTAGGAGAATGAACCACTGAGCAGATTTTAAGATATTAACACCAAGAAATACTCTGGGGTGGGCCAACACTGCCCAACCTTGCCTACCTTCTCTGGGCTGGGCTCAACAAAATATGTAGTGATGGAGGTGATGTTGGTTTTAACATTGTAGAGCCATCCGATGCCAGTGATCACAACATGAAGAATATGCTCCCGGCTGTGGACGTAGTGGTAGGCAGTACTAAAGATATTGGTGACTCCCTGTAGAGACAGAAAATTTAAGTTACATGTTTTTAAAAATAGCAAAATCATGGTACAGTGGGAAAGACACTTGCCTTGCATGTGGTTGACAAGACTTCAACTCCCAGCTCTACATGTGACCCCCTGAGCACTGCCAGGAATGATTCCAGAGCACAGAACTAGTAGAAAACCCTGAGCACTGCTGAGGTGGGTTTTTTTTTGTCAAAAAAGAAAAATATTGTAATAAGAAGGAATAGAAAAATAGTAGTAGGAATCTTTCCTACAAGTTATTCATTAGTTCTCAAAAGGTAGAATTGAGATTTGATTATGAAAGAAGGATCATCAAAAAATCCAAAGTGAATTCTACCGTAAGACCACATAATTGTATTTTCAGTCATATTTGATTTAATTTTCTATTTAATTTAATTTTTTTTATTTTTATTTTTTTTATTTTTATTTTTTATTCTATTTAATTTAATTTAATTTAATTTTCTATTCATAGAATTTAATTCAAATACTTGCAGAAATGAGCCAGCAATTTTATTTTATTGTTTATTTTGTTGTTGCTTTGGGGCCACACCTGACAGACCATAAGGGATGCCAAGGATTGAATTGGGTTGGCCAGTGTACAAGGCAAATGCCCCATACACTGGGGCATATTATCACTTCGATCCCATGAACCAGTCATTTTATAAACTTAAAAGCACCTATCTAGGCTAGAAAGCTAGTGCAGGGATTAAGGCACTTGCTTGGCACACTGCTGACCCTGGTTCAATCCTTGACACCAAATATGGTCCCCTGAGCACTGACAAAAGTGATCCTAGTTTAAGACTAGGAGTAAGCCCTGGGAACCCCCTAACAAAACAAAATAAATTCCCATTCCTTTCTGTGATCTAACTTGAAATTATTACTACTTGAGAGACATTTAGTCTTTTTCATTCATTTTTCAGATTAAACCCCCGCCCCGACCAGGGCTCCAACAGCCGAAGACCTCCAGGACCAGCCACTACCATGCTGAGACCACTCTCTGCACACATGAAGGTACTGGCAGAGGGACAAAGCCACGCGGGTTCCGGGGCCGAGATCTCCAAGCTTACTCGGATCGGGGCCGAGCATTCTCCACCCAGATCCTCCAAATTCCAGTAGGCGGGGGTCACACCCACCAACTGGCCCCCTGGCACCGTGTAATCCCATCAGCGGCCAAGACTCAGAGACTATAAAAACCAGCTCCCGGAAGAGAACAGTGCAGTCTCCTGCCCCCGCGCCTGGCTATCCTCGCCGGGCCCCTTGGAGGGGAGTGGGTTGAGCTTTCCTCCCCCCCCACCAGGGCTCCGACAGCCGAAGACCTCCAGGATTTGCGGCCGCGCGACATCCTATTATGACATCTCATTATCTCATTCCTACTTTGGACAAACTGGCAGGCTACCGAATGTAGCCTGCCCACACGGCAGAGTCTGGCAAACTCCCCGTGGCGTACCCAATATGCCAAATACCAGTAACAATGATGGGTCTCATTCTCCTAAAGAGCCTTGAATATAATCTCAGGGCCTGGATGAAGGAGACGTTACTGGGGCCTACTCGAGGCAATCAACGAATAACAGGATGATTTGTGATTGTGATTGTGTGATTGTGATTCATATTAAAAATTATAACTCTGAAATAAAAAAAACTGTGGAGAGGCACATCATATTTAGTAGTATTTGTGGAAAGAGCAAAAATATTTTTATGTGCCACTCTTAGTAAAACATAAGTATGTTCCTTCTGAAAGTTAATTCCTACTTTGTGGGTCTTAGCTCTTCTAATATTTGAATTTCAGTTCTGCCTGACCCAAGTTCGATTCCTCTGCCCATCTCTGAGAGCCCGGCAAACTACCAAGAGTATCTCGCCTACACAGCAAAGCCTGGCAAGCTACCTATGACATATTCGATATGCCAAACACAGTGTTACTGGGCCCACTCGAGCAAATCGATGAACAACGGGAGGACAGTGATAGTGACAGTGATGTTTAAGGCAATGGGACACATATTAATGTTCTTTCCAGAAAGGCTGTGCGTGGTTAAACAACTGACACTGAGAGTATTTCCTTGTTTAACAAGGAAACAAGACTGATACATATATACATACAATCCCCAACACATACACACGGGGAACAGAGACAAGTGTGATCACACTATTAGACATAACTATGCTCTCATCTAGTTTCAAATCTGCATCAATACAGGGAGAAAGGGACTCTCATTCACTGCTGGTGGGAATGTCAACTGGTCCAGCCTTTTTGAAAAACATTCTTTAAAAATCTAGGAATTGAGCTTTGATTCAGCAACTCTACTTCTAGGAATGTACCCCAAGAGCCCAAAAACAAAATGGGGAAAAGATATTTGCACCCCTATATTCAGTGCAACATTATCCACAGTAGTCAAAATCTGGAAACAACCCAAGTGTACAAGAATGGATGACTGGATAAAGAAACTATGGTACATACACACAATGGATTATTACTCATCCCTAAGAAAAGATAGTGTCATGCAGTTTCCTGCTATATGGAAGGGCCTGGAAAATATCATGCTGAGTGAAGTTAGTCAGAGGGAGAGAGATGGACACAGAACAGTCTCTCTCATACGTGGAGAGTAAGGAAACATAATGGGGGAATAATGAATGTACAAAGACAATGGAAACAAAGAACATGGGAACTGGCAGTCAGAAGGAAACACACCACCTGAGGGTTGAGGGGACTGGAGGATAGGACAGTGGAGGGAAGACCAAAGGGGAAGAGGAGGTGGTGCTAAAAGGTGGTGAAGTGTTTTTTTTTTTTGTTGTTGTTGTTATATTTATTTATTGAATCACTGTGGGAAAAGTCACAAAGCTTTCAAGATTAAGTCTTGGTCATACAATGATCAAACACCTTTCCCTTCACCAGTATTTATTTTTCACCACCAAGAACCCCAATATGCCCCCCTGCCACCCCGAGGCAGTAATGTGTTTTGTATGAAACCCCATTGGCAACAGTAAATTAAACCACAGTGCAAAAACATATACATTTTTTAAAGTGCCTCTCAGAGGCAGACTGGTGGGTGAAGTCAAGGAGGGGAGAGGGATAAATTGGTGGATGGAAGTTGGCATTGGTTTAAAGGGATTGATGTTGAAACTGGTTGGACCGATGGCACAGTGTGTGGGGAATTTGCTTTCCATGCGGCCGACCTGGCCGACCCAGGTTCGATTCCTCCATCCCTCTCGGAGAGCAAGCCTGGCAAGCTACCTGTGAAAAAAACGATATGCCAAACACAGTAACAAGTGTCACAATGGAGACGTTTACTGGGCTTGCTCAAGCAAATCGGTGAACAACAGGAGGACAGTGACAGTGACAGATGTTGAAATAGTATATGTCTGAAACAGTATGTGTCTGAACTTCATAATTTCATGGTGACAAAAATTTTTTTAAATATAGGCCAAGCTCTCTTATTATTGTTCTTAAAGAATTCTTCTTTTACTTACCTGATAGAAATTAATCTCATGATGTAGAAAGATGTTTATTTTCTGAGGATCTCTTAGGGTGTCAATAGCCAGGACCCCAAATATTCTTAGATGTGCATCTTGGAGAGGCAGAGCCAGGAAGGACCCATTACAATCACTCATCGTCCGGGAATTGTTCCAAAACATTATGTTTCCATGGTGCTGAACTTGGGGGACATGTATTGGCTTTCCTTCATCAATAACTGTAAAGCTGAGGAGTAGGTATGTGAGCACAGGAGAAAGGCACAGGAGGGACTTTGAATTAAACCCTGCAGGAAACTACATCAGTCCCCTCTCCATGATCATTTCATTATATGCTAGCAAATTAGACTAAAATAAATGACCAATTTGGAGAGTCTGACTTAAGAGGAGGACTAAAAAAAATGAACAACAAAGCAAACTTAGAAACAGAAAAAATAAATTGAGTTTAAAAGACATACAAATTACAGAGCAGATAGAAATAACTAAATAGTGCTGAGCAGAATCCTTACCTTGTGCACCAATGCCTAGAAGTAAACTCTAGAAACAATCAGGAGAAATAATTGGTAAGGCACTGGTAATGTGAGACATTTCTCTCTGGAAAAGCTCAACAAGATTTCAATGTTAATTTACTTCATAAAGGGAAAAAAACTTCTTAAAAGGATAAAGCCAGCTTCAAGAAATTCTTACTTTGGGGTGAAAGAGATTGTATAGTGGGTAGGGCATTTGCATTGCATATGGCTAACCCATGTTCAGTCCCAGGCATCCAATATGATCCGCCACCCCCACCTATGCCCCCAAGCACCACCAGGAGTAATTCTTGAGTGCAGAGCCAAAAGTAACCCCTGAGCATTGCTGGGTGTTATTCCAAACAAAAAACCAAGAACAATAACAGCAAAAATTCTTACCTGATCCCCTTCATATCCCTGTAGAGCACTTTGTTCAGGACAAATGGTGCATCATCCAAAGTACAAGCCACATTCCTCAATAGAACAGTCCCTCGATCTGGCAGTAGTTTGTTTTCTTCCAAGAGGGAAATATGGGCACTGATTGTCTTGTTTCCATGGACTCCAGCATCCTATGGCAAGGTGTTTGAACCAAGTATTTGACAGTAGTCAAAAATCTACCTTCTTATCATTTCCCTCTTAACCAATTAGTCAATTTGAGCTTCTTCCCCTAGTGATTTCCTTTTCCTGAACAACGGAGGCAGATATTAGCATTCACAGACAGTAAGGAAAGACTGGCACTACAACTGTCTCTAAACCAGAGTTTTGGTGAGTGGAATTGTTTCACTTTGTGTTAACTAGACTTGTTTACTCAAAAATAGAAAAGAAGAAGAGGAAGAAGGGGAAAAGGAGAAGAAGAAAAAATAAGAGGAGGAGGAGGAACAGGAGGGAAGAGGAGGAGGAGGAAAAAAACCCCTTAGTCTGCCCAAGTTTAGAGCCCTAAAACTTGGATCTCATTGAACTATAGCCAGTGTGATATGGTCTGGGTTCTAGTGAAAATCATTTCTTTATGGGCCAGAGAGATAACACAGAGGTAGGATATTTGCCTTACACATGGCCAGCTCAGCATCCCATATAGTCCCCCAAGCACCACGAGGAGTGCAGAGCCAAGAGCACCGCTGGGTATGGCCCCAAAACAAAATAACAGCAGCAACAACAAAATAAACAAATAAAATCTCAACAATAAAAATGTACTTAGATTTCTCTTAGGGCATTGCAAATCTCAGAAGCAAGTTTTTCTTGATTGTTTTTCCTATTTCTGAACACATAATTTTCGACTATATTGAAAAATTCAGCCATTCAGGGACATGATTCTAATTATCAAATGTTGCTATTTAACTGAGATGAATGTCATTCATTCCCTGGATGAATGTAATCTGTGATATATGTGGAAGACAACCAGGCTGTTTCCGCCCAGGGGAAAGCAGGAAGTTAGGTGTTTGGTGTGAAGGCAAAGCTGTGGGCAGTGGTCCACCAGTGCATATGTTTTCACTGACAGAATACTGAAATAGTCTCAGGTTGTTTCTATGCAAGTCTGTCTGTAACTTTTGGATTATACTTTATAATTACTTTGTGATTTAAAATAGTTCCCTTTAAAATTCAATCACAAAATATCGTGCAAGGAAATTACAGTTGAACTGCTTGTGCATTTCCTTATTGGTATTTCCCAATTATCAGTTGAGTGTCTATTTTAGGCTTAAGTAACTCTCAGTACAAAGGAAGTTAGAAAGCCCAACACATAATTTTGTTATTTATATCTTTTCTTTCTGTTCTACCTAACTGATCGACAATAATTTCAACTGCATCTTTTCTGGCTCTAGGTCACTGTAACATATGGAATGAATAAAACATCTATAGGGGCCTGAAGGTTACATTTAGTAAGGTGCTTGCCTTGAATGTGGTGGACCCAAGTTTTATTCCAGGCCCTCCCTACTAAGCACTGCCAGGAGTGAACCCTGAGTAGAGAGCCAGAAGTAAGCCCTGAGCACATCCAAACAGGGCCCCAAACCCATACATTAATTAGATAAAACAAAGCTATAGAAGTAGACAATGAGGGCCTGGAACCTATAGTGGCCTTGTACACAGTCTATCTGGGTTCAGTCTCCTGCACCCCATATGATCCCTGAGCCCACCAGGACTGATCCCTGAGCACAGTACCAGGAGTAAGCCCTCAGCACCACTGGAGGTGACCCCCAAACAAGCTAACAAAAAAAGAAGTATACAATGATTTTTTTGTAGGCCCTAGGCCCTCCCATTGATCATCGATTTGCTCGAGCGGGCCCAGTAACGTCTCCATTGGAGACTTTGTTGTTACTGTGTTTGGCATATCGAATACGTCACGGGGAGCTTGCCAGGCTCTGCTGTGCGAGCCTTTTCTGTAGGAGTACTGCTATTTATTCAGCCACTGATTAGCTGATTGAATTGGGCATGAACTCCACCTTAATTTTTTTCTTTTCTTTTTTTCTTTTTATATTTATTTATTGAATCACTGTGGGAAAAGTTACTAAGCTTTCAGGTTTAAGTCTCAGTCATACAATGATCAAACACCTTTCCCTTCACCAGTACTCATTTTTCACCACCAAGAACCCCAATATACCCCCCTCTCACCCCTCCCAATGCCTGTGAGGCAGATGATTTCTACTTAACTCTTCTCTCACAAAGAGAATTTACTTGTGCACTTCCTCTGAAACCACTATGTATTACCCACTATACTACGAGGAAGCTTTCTCTCTTACATGTCAAGTTAGGAAACATACCTGGGTGAGGGCCCTAAAGGTTTGATTGTAAACTGGTTCCAGGGATACCCCACTTGTCTCAGCAGCAAGTTGGATTTGGTGCAGCCACTTTCTCCTGACCTGGTTTCTCAGATTTTCAACATGGGTCCTTTGCAAAGCATTCATCAGAAACTCCACAAGATTTTCCAGAACAATATCTTCATTACCCCTGAGCTCAGATACAACCAGTTCTAAGTATTTCTGAAACTGTTTTGAAGATAACTTCACTTCCTGCCCATTGTGTGGCTTTGGAAATGCAATGTATAGTTTAGCTAAAAGACATAAACATAAAATGAAGAGCTAATGAAACGTTTATTCAATGTGTAAACTTATTGCAAACAGAATCCCTGAAAATAGAACCCAATGGAAAAACCTCAAAGTCTCAAAGTCAGGTGAAGCCCGGGAGTCAATTTTGACTCCTTGCTTTTGACTTAATCCTATCCTGTCAGCCTTTAGAATTGTAACATGTGATCACACCTCTTCTTATCTATTTCCTTAATTCAAAACTACTATTAATTATTCTTAAATTGGATTACCAGGGGTCAGAGAGATAGTATAGGGCTTAAGACATTTATCTTACACATGGCTCACCCCATATTGAATTCTGGCACCACCAGAACAGATCACAGAGCATCAAGCAGGAGTAAACCCTGAGCACTGTGGGCTGTGTCCCCCAAACAGAAACAACTAAGATTACCAATAGACTAACACCTATTTATATTAAATTGAAACATAAGTTGCATTATGAAATTCTGGTCCAAAGTTGCACTGATCTTTGAATTTAGCTCATTTTCCAATATCTTTCCATAATAATAGATAGAAACTATTTGCTCTGGTGTCCTCAACTCTGCTCGTGGCTTTGCACACTACTGCATCCACAGTTATTTTTTTTGTCTTTTTATTTTTTAAATTTTTTTATTTTTTAATTTTTATTAGTGAGACACCATGAGGTACAGTTGTAGACTTACAAATTTTGTGCTTGGGTTTCAATTATACAATGACCAAATACCCATATCTCCACCAGTGTCCACAGTTCTTTTTAAATTGTCCTAAAAATTGGTGATAATGAATTTTTTCACATATCTATTGGCCATCTTTTTTAACCTTTGAGCGTTTGCTGTTGTTGAGCTTTGCCAGGGCTTTATACACTTCAGAAGTCAGCCTTCTGTTTGATGTATGGTGTGCAAATATTTTCTCCCAATCAATAGTCTTTTAATTTTTGGCCTCATTTCTTTTACATTACAGAAGATTTTTAATTTGATATAGTACCATTTTCTTATTTCTGCTTTTGTCTCTGGGATCAATATCTTAGAGAGGGTTAGAAAGATATCACAGGAAGTAGGGTGCTTATCTTGCATGTGGCTGACCCAGGTTTAATCTCCTGTAACACATGTGATACCCTGAGCACCTCAGAGTCCCCTTAGCCTGCCACAAGTGATCCCTGAGTGCAGAGCCAGGAATGAGCCCTAAGTACAGTTGGATGTGCACCCTCTCATCCCCCCCCCCAAAAAAATCCCCAAATAAATGAAATAAAAATGAGGTCTGGAAGGTAGTAAAAGGGTTAAAGCACATAAGTTTGATTCTGAGCACCACATGGTCCCCCAGCACCGCCAGAGTGAATGGGGTATTCCAGGCATCACAGGGTCTAAGCAGTATTACTTTCTCCAGCCTGTGCATTGAACCACCCACCAGATTGTCAGAGAATTACCAGTGGAACCCCTGAATCTCCTGTGCCATGCTTAGGAGGTTGCCCTCCTGAGTAAATAAACCAAAATAATAAAAAAATAAAAATACTATATGATTTTTAATACCAAGTCTAGCCATCTGAAAAATATGAAAAAATACTTTCAAAAATATTTGTACATGTTATGTTCATGGTGGGCTGGAGCGATAGCACAGCGGGTAGGGCGTTCGCCTTACACGCGGCCAACATGGCCGACCCGAGTTCTATTCCTCCGCCCCTCTCGGAGAGCCTGGCAAGCTACCGAGAGTATTCGATATGCCAGACACAGTAACAACAAAGTCTCCAATGGAGACGTTACTGGGCCCGCTCGAGCAAATCGATGATCAACGGGAGGGCCTTTACCTTTATGTTCATGGTAGCATTATGGATAACTGGATAAAGAAGCTATAGTACACATATCTAATGGAATACTATTCAGCTGTTAGAGTGCAGGGATGTGGCTTAATGGATTATTCAGCAGATGTAGCCTAACTTGTGTCCACAAGGCAACAAGTTTGATCCTCATCATAGTTCTACATTGAGAAATGTGATCCCTGAATCCTTGGTAGGGTAATTGAGTGTTTGACCTCTGGCATATTAACTGCAGTCAATTCTATAAGTCGTAGGGCACCACAAATGTGACCTCAACAATATCACCACCACTACAAAAAATAAAATTAAAATTTTGCCTTTTATAACAGTATTGCTGGAACTAACACGATTATGCTAAGTGAAATAAGTAAGGAAGTGAAAGAGAGTTATCAGATTTTTACCCATATGTAGACTATAAATAACTAAAGCAAATGAATGGCCAAATACAACAAAAATAACTCTTAGATTCTGTGAAAAAACATGATGGCTAACAGAGAGAAATGGAAAGAGGGTTGGAGGAATGGGTATGTCATTAAATTCAAGCACAAATTCAAGCACAGTCATTTTGATAGTTTTGGCATTAGAACTTCAGTGTTGAGTGTGATAAAACTTATATGCATATATACCAGCAGTATATATGTGTATATGTATGTACATTGTTATAAAATTGCATACCCCAAATTTTATGGTATTGTAACCCAATAGTAAATTAATAAAATTCATTAAAGCTCACCCATAAATATTTGTATATTATGAAAGGAAAAATAATAAAAAGAGAAGGGTCTGCCAGCTATCATCTTGTTATCTTGGAGTTTCTAATAATACTTGATAAGAACACAATATTGCTTATATGTTAGTCATAACAAAGAATAGTAACCTGGGCTGGATAGATAGTACACTGGTTAAGGCACTTGCCTTGCATGCAACTGATCCTGGTTCGATTCCCAGCACTGCCTATGGTCCCCTGAGCAGCACAGAAGTGATCTCTGCTGGAGCACAGGGTCAGGAGTAGCACCTGAGCATCACTGAGTGCAGCCCCAAGCTCCTCTCACTCCCCAATTAAAAACCCAAATTTAATCATGAGAAAACATACAAATGCAAAAGATGAACATGCCATAGCCAGCCTATATCTTCAGAAGTATTAGTCATAGAACCCAAGAATAGCCGAGAAAAGTACCAGGAGGATTACTCCATGGCTTTGAGGCCAGCCGCACATACTAGGGGAAAAGGCAGCTCAGATAGAGAAGGGAGCACCAAATAAAGGGTGTTGGGAGGTTCCTCTCAGGATGGTAGATGTGTGATGAGAGTAGACTATAGACCGAACAAGATTGCCACTCAATGTCTCTTTTGCAAACCACAGCACTCAAAAGGAGAGAGATAACAAAAGGGAATGCCCTGCCACAGAGGTAGGGTGGGATGGTGGGATGGGGGTGGGAGGGATACTGGGACCCGTGGTGGTGGAGAATGGGCACTGGTGGAGGGATGGGTATTCGATCATTGTATAATTGAAATTCAAGCACAAAAATTTGTAAGTCTACAACTGTACCTCATGGTGTTTCACTGATAAAAATTTAAGGAAAAAAAAAGAAAAAAAAAGAAGTATTAGTCATAGAAATCAAGGAAAGACTGAGTAGTTTCTTTAAGATACTCGATGAACAGAGAATTAACTTTTGTTTTAAACTATCTCCTTGTCCAATTTACAGCTTCATTAAAAAACACATTGTGATTTTGTTTAAGATCATTGTCAGTGATTTTAATGCCACAATAGGACCAAGAAGATCAGCAGAAGAATTCCACATCGGGACCCGTGGCCTAGAATGGAACGAACAGGGTGACAGACTGAGTTCATCATCTCGACCAAGACCATCCATGGTAACTCACAGTTCCAGAAGGCCAAATCTAAACGTTGGACATGGGAGTCTCCCGGTGGACGGTTCCACAACGAAATTGACCACATCATATTCAATCGACGGTTTTGCCTAACTGATGTTGCTGTTATCCCAAAATTCTAAATGGGATCGGACCACCATCTCCTTCGTGCAAAATTCTACTTCATAGAGCAGGGAGAAAGGAATGCAAAGTTTAAGAAGAGAACTCCCAGAACGACCACCAACTGGGAGCTCTTTGACTCTGTTGTGGCAACATGGGAAGATGCCGTCATTGACAACATTGACGAGGAATACGGTCGACTGGTTCAGCACCTCCATGATTGTGCGAGGAACACCAAGAGAGAGATAACCACAAAAAAAAAAAAAACGCCTGTCTTCGAACACTCTTGAGCTTATTTGCCAACGCGTCTTGGTGCATACCTCAGGCAACTGCAAGCGAACGTCTGAACTCACAAAACAGTGCAGAGACGCGATCAAGGAAGATCTCAAAGACAGAAGAGCAGCAGTGCTGGTAGATGCAGCAGAAACCAGGAAAAGCATTCGCAATGCCCGCCTGTCCTTCACCAACTACAAGACCAAGATGACTGCCCTCCGACACCCTGATGGATCTATCACATCTTCCACAAGGGCAATGGAGAAGATTATACATGACTTCTACTCAGATCTCTTTAATAGCCACGTCCACTTGCCCACATACCAAATTCCGCAGGATGGATATGTCGTTCCCAACGTTCTCCCATCTGAAATCTGACACTCCATCTTGTCGGTAAAGAAACAAAGAGCACCTGGCCCAGACAAGGTCAGACCTGAACACCTGAAGAACCTACCGTCAGTATTCATCAATACGCTGGCTCGGCTCTTTACACGCTACCTGTCTGAATGCAAGGTTCCGTCCCAATGGAAAACCAGCAGGACTGTACTACTATACAAGAAGGGAGACATCCACGACATTGGCAACTATAGCCCAATCTGTCTATTGTCTGTCATCTACAAGCTGTTCACTCGAGTCATTCTGAATAGGATTGGCAGAACACTAGATGAAGGACAACCATGAGAGCAAGCTGGGTTCCGAAAAGGATTCAGCACCATCAACCATATCCACACAATAACCAAGCTCATTGAGGTTTCTCGGGAGTTCAAGATGCCGCTCTTTCTAACGTTCATTGATTTAAAGAAGGCCTTTGATTCTGTCGAGACGGCAATCATCGAAGCCCTAGCCAATCAGGGCATTCAAACTCAATACATCAGGATCTTCCGTGAGTTGTATTACGGATTCACTACCAGGATC